CACACACACACACACACACATATATATATATGTTGAAGTGAGGAGATAGAATCCATAAGAAAATCTTATATGGTTTAATACAAAAGAAAATCTGATATGATTTAAGACAAAATCTGATGTGATTTAAGAAAAAAAATCTGATAAACATTGGATCATAATTTTCTTAAACGGTTACATTGTTCGCAGCACTTAAAACTTTTAAGGTGTAATAACATTGGATGGATGCAGTTTAGTTAAACATTTATACTTCTTTGACTTGTATTATTGCTCTCGAATATATTTCGTAGATAATCTATGTTCTTTTAATTTTATTATTTGCTATTTAATTACATAATTAAAATTTTAATCTCTTTTTTTTTAGGTAAGAGTTGAAAAACAATCAATTGATGAACTGAAAACCACGTAGCCGTTGGCTCATGGGTCTTGGCACGAGGAGATGAACCCATTCAGATTCAGAGTTGTAATTAAAGTTTTGAGAGAAACTCTACTTTCGCCCATAAAGGGGATCGCCATGAACGACCTCGGACATTCTTCATTCTTCTCCTGAGTTAACTGATCCGGGACCAATATAAACAGTTGAAGCCGAAATTGAAAGAAACGTCTAGAAATGGACATTCTTCATCCATCTCTCTCCTCTTCATGTTCCTATATGTATACTCGAATCGGCTTTCTTTCTCACCATCGAAAAGCATTTCTTTCGAAACTACCAGCAAGCTTAAAACGCAGTTTCCTTCTCGTTTCAAGTTTTTGTAAATTAGTTGTCCAAACATGTCGTTGATTCCAAGTTTCTTCGGGAACCGTAGCAGCGTCTTCGATCCTTTCTCCCTCGACGTCTGGGACCCATTTAAGGATTTCCCTCCCCCTTCTTCGTCACTTTCGCGGGAAAGTTCTGCGATCGTCAGCACCCGTGTGGACTGGAAGGAGACACCCGAAGCGCACGTTTTCAAGGCGGATCTCCCTGGGATGAAGAAGGAGGAGGTAAAAGTGGAGGTGGAAGATGGCAGGGTGCTGAAGATGTGCGGGGAGAGACACGTGGAAAAGGAGGAGAAGAACGAGACACGGCACCGCGTCGAACGCAGCAGCGGGAAGTTCTCGAGGAAGTTCAGGTTGCCGGAGAACGTGAAGATGGAGGAGGTGAAGGCTTCCATGGAGAATGGTGTCCTAACTGTTACAGTGCCTAAAGCTGAGGTGAAGAAGCCTGATGTTAAAGCCATTGAAATTTCTGGCTGAGCGTTTACTAGCAGGTGCTTTCATTGATGTTTCTAAAAGCAACTATGAAGATTTGGAAGCAGCGTGTATTTATTTGTATGCCAAGTGTTTGACAAAATGTCTCTGTGTTTGGTTTTATATTTTCTAATGCTTATGTAAATTTGGTGTCCAATGAATAAAACAGTCATCTTTCTTCTGTGATCGAACTTGATTCTTTCTACTATGCTTTCAAGATTTAGAATTGTAGGAAGCATTTAGGGATGGAACTGCTTGCACCAGTTTAACAAAGGGAACAAAATTTTAATATTGTCTCGAGAAAATTTTAGCATGCATTCCTTGAAAGCCCCTCGAAGTTTTCAGGCACTCCATCCTCCATAAGTGTCAAGTAAAAGTGCATTGAGCAGCTGAGATATCGCAACAGACTGATAAATTTAAACATTATTTTGACATGACCCAATTGATTCGATTAGATATTTATCATTAATTTTTATTGTTATAATTGTTTGACAACGTGAAAAATATTATTGTTCATGTAAATTATTATTTCACTATGGACGAAAAACTTTGATAAAATTTTAAAATTTATTAGCATGCATTCCTTGAAAGTCCTAGAAGTTTTCAGGCTCTCCATCCTCCAGAAGTGTCAAGTGAAAGTGCATTGAGCAGGTGAGACATTGTAACAGATTGATAAATATAAACAATATTTTGATTGATTGGATTAGACATTTGTCATCTATTTTTATTGTCATAACTCTTTGACAACGCTAAAAAAATTGTTGTTCATGCAAATTATATTCACTTGGAACGAAAACTCTGATTAAATTTAAAGTTATTAGATTTCGAAGAGTTCAAAGATTAATAGCAAATAACAGTGCACAGACATACCAACAACACACTCTTTAACATAACACACGTGTATATTTACCCATTTACACACGCGCACCGCAAGTGCCACCCATCATTTGATGGGCTCGGATAATTGGGCTTTGCTATTCTAATCGTTTTAACAATCTCCCTCAAAATGAAGAACATATATTTTCTACTCCCTATCTCGACCATATATGCTGGCTAATAAGGGTTCATAGTGCTTTATTGAGTGTGTTTGTAAATTATTGCTTACTCCCTACATATTCGGGAATAATGCTTTCATCTTGAATCTTATCTTGCATATGTTTAGTTTTTTCATAAAATACTGAATTAAATATTACGTGTATCACAATCTTATCGTTGTTATTTTTAAAATTAAATTCAAATATCAAATCAAGTATGATTAAGAGAATGTGATAGAACATTATTAAATTTTAAAAATATTCTTTTTTTTGTCTAATAATTTTTACTTTGAAGAAGCAATTCTATTATAAACATAATAAGTTATTCTCATAATTTACACTCGAGATTAAGTCTATTTGAGAGTGAATGATGATAGTTTTGAGGATAAATATTTATATTATAGTTATGTATATTAAAATTAATATAAATATTTAAATTAAAAAATTAAAGAAAAAAATAAATCATAATTATATTCAAATTTCAATAATATTGTTAAAATTTTTAAATTGAATTGATAGGTACGTAGTTTAAGTGATATTTTATGTAATTAATAAGAATTCAAGAAAATAATGTATTATTTTGTTCGTGTTTTATTTATTTTTTTTAATTTTTTGAATAGAAAATAATAAAATATAATATATTTTTAAAGTACGATATGTCTTCACAAATTAAAAATAATTAAATGCTATTTATAAAATGAGAAATTATTATTATTATTATGTCTAATATAAATCACCTTGATAAAATTTCACTTAGAAGACGTGCGTATAATTATTCATATGATCATAAAAAATTAACATAATAACTAATTTTTAAATAGAATTAATATATATTTTAATTATAAATAATCGTACTATAAAAATACGTTGCATAACAATTATATATTTAAGGCGTTAGAAAGAGATCCTTCCAAGGAAAGTCTGAAGATTTTAGAATCCACCAGAAGCCCATAACGGCTCGGAAACCCAACTCTGAGGGAGACAAGGTCCAGATGCTCCCGGAAGATTCACGAACTCATCAACAGATTATCCAGTGAGTTCTGGATTTGTCCTCTCCTTCTTATAAATATCTAACTGATCGTTTCTGTCAGACATCCAAGAACAAGCAAGCAACTCTCGAGGGACTTTCTCACTGCCAACAAACGCTTTGCCGGCTACTTTCTAGCCAACCAAATACTTCTCTTTTCTTTGTTTTTAATCAATCTGCGCAGAACCTTTAACAATGTCGCTCATCCCAAGCTTCTTTGGAAACCGACGCAACAGCGTTTTTGATCCCTTTTCCCTTGACGTATGGGATCCATTCAGGGACTCTCCCTTTCCGTCCTCGTCTCTTGCCCATGAGAATTCAGCGTTCGTGAGCACGCGTGTGGACTGGAAGGAGACGCCGGAGGCGCACGTATTCAGAGCTGATCTCCCCGGGATGAAGAAAGAGGAAGTGAAAGTAGAAATCGAGGAGAATAACGTGCTGCAGATCAGTGGTGAGAGACACGTGGAGAAGGAGGACAAGAACGACACTTGGCACCGCGTTGAGCGCAGTAGCGGCAAGTTCTCGAGGAGGTTCAGGTTGCCGGAGAACGTGAAGATGGACCGGGTGAAGGCTTCAATGGAGAACGGGGTGCTAACTGTGACGGTGCCTAAAGCGGAGGTGAAGAAACCTGATGTTAAGGCCATCGAGATTTCTGGTTGAGTGTTTCAATTTCGCGAAAGACTTTGTTGAAATCTCTCGATGTACGAGCGCTAATGTATTTAGAAAGTGAGTAAACTTGGGTGTTTCGTATGTGAAGTGTTGTTTGATGAAATGTCAGTGCGTGTGATGTGAGTGTTCTGGTTTTGTAATGTTCATGTAAACTTTGTGTTTTCTATGTGAAGTGTCTGGTGAAATGTCATTGCCTGTTATCTGAGTGCTTATTTTTCTAATGGTAATGTAAACATAATTAAAGGAAAAAACTATCTTGTATCTTTTGCAAACATCGTCTTGGTCATATCTTCTGAAAATGTTTACCAAATGCTTCTCAACATACTGATTTCACTGATACTTGAGAGTTGGGTTCTTGTCTGTAAAATGTTTACCAAATGCCGTCTTTGTGGTACTGTGTATAAAATGTTCAATAACATGTCGGATTGTTCAATTGTCTGTACTTTGTTGATGCTCCAATATTATTTTCTGATTCATCAGAATTTTGTTTCTTCTCCTGTGAGAGAGAACAAATCCTTTTAAGTTGTCGTCTCGAAGAGAGGTCATGGCTCTGCTATTCATGTTTTCAAGCTAAATCCGGAGAGAGATGTGCGCTCTTGTCTATGGAAACCAGGTACCGTTCAGTTTGGTCTGCTCTGCCTTTTTTTTATTTAACCAAAAGCATCCAGTACTTTGGCATGTTATTAATACTTCAAATACGTAGATGGCTAAGAGGAGTACTATGTCATACAAATTGAATTAATTAATGACCCTGAGAAGGGTTAAAATCATTCTGATTGAACTGTACAGATTATACAAAAAATTCAAGATCAGGTTAATTCTCTGTTGCCAACATCTGGGCAACTCGTCTTGAAATAGACCCCCTTTCTAGTTGATGTTGAGACTTAATTCTAAGGCTGTAAAATCCTTATGAAAAACTTGAGAATCATTCTTAGATAAATAAAAGATAAGATCAAGATAACTGGTGGGTCAAGAACACTAAAATTCATATGAGCAGAAGCTATGGGTGAAATTGTCTGATCTTTTCTTTTAGTTTATTTAACAGGATAATTGCTTGTTCTGGATCCCATTGACACAGTTGGATTCAACCATGTAGCTTGTATACGGAAAATGGGTTACCTCAGATTGTCTGAGAAAGAAGATTTGATCTCTATCAGGTTTTTGCTAGTTAGGTAACCAGAATTATTATTAGCTAGTTGATTGAAAATTAGAGTCTTACACCTTTCAAGCATTAAAAAAACAGATTTATTGACAGGCAGTTTACAGGAAGGTCATTCTTTCGCATTCTTCCAGAATAGTTCTAGCTATGATAAGGAGTAACATAATAGGAGATAATAAACTTTGCTAACTCATCCAAGGAATTCTGTAAATTGCTAATACCAGCTTCGATCTCATGTTTTAAATCCCTTGCCCTCTTTCTCATCTCCTTCCCTTCTTCTTCAACCATTAGTCTCAGAACAATTTTCTCTATTTCACCTCGCTCCAACTTATTCTCATACTGCCAACCTACTCTCCATACTTGGCTAACATACCTTGCAGTCCCGTTTTGGTCGCCAAAACATGGTCTGCATATCATTGGAACCCCTTCACATACACTTTCCAGTGTTGAATTCCATCCAGAATGGCTCCAAAACCCTCCCACTGCATCATGTGCCAATACTTGTTTCTGGGGTGCCCATTTCACAATGCAGCCTCTTTCTCCAACTGAATCTTTGAAATCTTTTGGAAATGACTCTATCCATTCTGATCCAACTATTGGGCCGGATCGTATCACCCACAAGAAAGGCTGCTTGCTATTGGCCAGTCCCCAAGCCATCTCTTCTGTCTCCTTAGCATCCATGGATGCTATGCTCCCCAAGCTTATGTATATGACCGAGTTTTGAGCTTGCTTGTCTAGCCATGCTATGCAGCTGTCATCTTCTTCTAGGAAGCTACTGGTGGAGTCCGGAGCAAGCTTGTGCAAAGGGCCAATTGGGAAGATTGGAAGCTGATTTTGGTGTCGAAGATGTGCCAATGGTGAATGTTCCAGACAATTCATAGTGTTTATTATTGTTGGTGAGCTTTGTGTATTGGACAACTTAGCAATCAGTTGCAAGGACTTATTTTCTGTTCCAGATTTCATAAAGGATAGATCTTTGAACCTCAGAGGATAGTGTTCTGGCACTGGATCCTCTAACATTGAGTCTGTCATTCAAAGATTTCTAATTATCAGTGGTTAAACCACACAAACTAGCTTGTGAAAATTAGCCAACAAACAATTTCACATATTGACGGTGCTAGTAGGAGCGAAAGATGTGCTCAATACATGTTGTGCTGTCAAGCAAGGCACAAACATGACATCGTACCTGGTAAAGGAATGCAACCCTGTAAATGCAGCTTGGAAATGACATCACGAAGAAGAAAATTGGCGGCACTACTAGTTTGAAACATGATGCTTGGAAGCTTGAAATGGTTAGCGATTGTCAGAGAGAAATACATGATTTCATCATAGATGATGCATGCGATTTGAAAGTGCTGCTCATTTGTCATCCGGGCCAATAATTGTTTGAAGGGTTGTTGACACTTGTCGTTAAGAAGCAGAACAAGATCTATCAAATCTGCTGAAGAAGTCTGGTGCTCGAGAAAGGTATCTGGTATGGAGATGAAGTTGAAGGAAGGATGGATTGATGGATTAGGGGAGCTGAACTGAGTGTGAGCAATGGTGATGGAGAAGCCTTTTGAATGAAGAATGGTACCCAGCTGGAGCATTGGGTTTATGTGACCTTGCATAGGCCATGGCACAAGCAACAATTGGTAACCTCTCTGTTCTTGTTTCTCCATCTTTGTTTCAGTGAAGCTCATATCATATACATGTATATATATATATATATACATACATTTATATGTATGGTGTATAGGGATAGAATCCACTACAAAAATCTGGTGAAATTTGAGATTCTATATTTTCAGTCGTATCTGATTATAATTTCCTTAAATATTATTAGATTATGTTGGTAATTGATTTACACTAGTAGAAAATCTGATTTGATTTGAGAAAAGTGTCTAAGGCATTAATTGATATAATACTGCAGTTGTATCCGACCAAGAAACTTCCTTAACTAGTTATGGGTATCTGCAACTTGAAAGTGTTATAACTTCAGACAAATGCAATTTATATTAACTTAATGGGATTTGAGATTTGTTAAAGTTTTAATTAACATTTTTTTTAAAAAGAATATGTATATATACAGCATTGATAATTTCAATCTAGTGTTTATTTCAGATCCTCATTTTTATTCCATACCTAGTTCCATTCAGTTTAATAGTGATGAACACCTTTGTTTGTATATTGAATTGGAATTTTATGGTTAATGTTATTATGATTATTGAAAAATATAACATTTCACGTATTAGCTGTCGGATACCGATCCCACATGTAATAGAATTGAAATGTTATAGTTGAGAATACTTATTAATTATCCAATATTTGTGAGGTGAACATTTTATTGAATTTTTACATACGACCGTATTGTTTTTATTTCAAATTTATTTAATCTAAGTTCATATTTTAGACATTACTTATTTGATATCTAGAAATTAAATCATGATTTTATAAATTTGAGATTTTGTTCGTATCTTTAATTCAATAATTACCAATTTATATTTTATCTGTATAAAAATGTGCCGCAACAGCGTCTTTGATCCCTTCTCCCTCGAAGTATGGGATCCATTCAAGGACTTCCCCTTTCCTTCCCCCTCACTTTCTCGGGAAAATGCTGCATTCGTGACCACACAGGTGGATTGGAAGGAGATGCCGTAAGCGCACGTATTCAGAGCCGATCTCCCGGGGATGAAGAAAGAGGAAGTGAAAGTAGAAATCGAGGATGATAGCATGCCGCAGATCAGCGGGGAGAGAGACACGTGGAGAAGGAGAGGATGAGAACGACAAATGGCACCGCGCTGAGCGCAGCAGCGGCAAGTTCTCAAGGAGGTTCGGGTTGTCGGAGAACATGAAGATGGATCAGGTGAAGGCTTCAATGGAGAACGGGGTGCTCACTGTTACAGTACCTAAAGCTGGGGTGGAGAAACCTGATGTCAAGGCCATAGAGATTTCTGGCTGAAAGTTCCTAATCCAGCGATGACAAGGTTTGATGATATTCCTCAATATCGAAGCCTTAGCGGATTTGTAACGTGAATAAACAGTGTTTTGCATGTGAAATGTCAGTGCGTGTTCTATGAGCGATTTGGATTTTGTAATGGTAATGTAAACATGATATCGATTAAAGTTGGTAAAAAGCAATAAATAATAATGTGATGGAATTTACAGATTTGCTTGTGAGTTAAAACTGGGACTCAGAATCATCCCATTGAAGCACGGCAGAATCTATGTTTTGTTCTCTTTTAAGTTTATCCTTCACAAACCAGTCACATATCTTCCCTGCATTAAGCTCCTCAATGCTGCATCCTTCCTGCTCTGATATCACTCTTAATAAATTCAAAGATGATATCTGCAATTCCAAAAACTTTACGGTATTATTAAATCAATCGTTGTAGAACCGAAGAGATGGGTGAGACTGAAGTAATTATATATCGTAAGTGTAAGTTACAAAGAAATTTTACGTGCCAAAAACAGAAAGTTTAATAAAATTATGTGAGATGAGTACCGTTAATCGGCAGAGGAAGCGTTCGTGAGTGCTTAAACCAGAAATCTCGACTAAGCCAGCTTCTTCTAGAGTTAAGAAGCCTCTTCTCTCGTTTTTCTTTTCTCCATTTTCTTTTGCACTGCATCCTCGAACACAAAATTTGAAAGTTCTTCTGACGAAGGTTAATTTTTGAAGCTTGGAGCGAAGAGGGAGCAATGGTGAATGGTGGTAGGTCCTGGAAGTTAGCTTGAGAGAATTCATCGAAGCTACACAATTTTGCAGTTGCCAGAAGCTTATCGTTTGAGGAGGACTTACTTTTTGTGGTGGAGATAGAAAGTAGATAGGTGATAAAGTAAAAGTACTGGTAAAAGTTCAAGCTTTATAATAATTCTCAAAATATAAAATAAATTCAAATAAACATTTTAAAGGACTAAATTTTTTTTTTTTTCTGTAAACTTTGGAATGAATTTTAAAATAAAATAACAAACATGGCCTTAAAATTGGTTTTTATTCAATTTATCTTGCTGATATAAAAAGTAGAAAGATCAGATATTGACAAGAATCAATTATTGTACAATTCAACTGTGTTTGGATTGGATAGCCTCACAATATGGATAAAATAAATTTTTTAGAAAGAAAGTCTGTGAAGATTAAAAGAACAGGAAGCTGAAATTTATGCATGAACACTTCAGATATATAGTTTGTAGATCTCGAAATCAAGTAGCTGGAATGGAGAAACAATACCTGAAACTAGTCCTAGTTCTATACCCATTTCAGGGCCACATCAATCCCATGTTACAATTAGCCTCTGTTCTTCACTCACATGGCTTCTCAATCACAATTTGTCACCCACAATTCAACTCTCCGGATCCATCCACTCATCCTCATTTCGAATTTATCCCCTTACGCGCTGGATTCACCCCACAAAATGCCTTCAAAAGCTTGACAGAGTTCTTAAAGATTCTGAATGACAAGTCCAGAACTCCATTCATGGATACCCTGGTTCAGATCATGGGAAAAGAGGAGCAGTCTGCTTGTCATGTTATCTATGATGGGTGTATGTATTTTGCAGCACAAGTGGCTAATGAGTTGAATCTACCAAGTTTTGTGTTTCACACTTTCAGTGCTGCTAATCTCTTGAGGTACCTCGCTTATCCTCATCTTAGACAAGAAGGCCTTATTCCCATTCAAGGTAGTTATGCCAAATTTTTCTTCTTCATGTTTCAATCTCATCTGGGTCTGGTGATAATCATCATAATCTAATTGTTTCATGCAGATTCAAAGCTACTAGAGCCAGTCCCTGATCTAGATCCTCTCAGATTCAAAGACTTATTCTTAGTCAGTAATGAAGATTTAGATGCTTGGCTGAATCTACTATCTTCTTTCTGCGACATAAAATCATCTTCAGCCATGATTTTCAACACTGCAGACCTCCTTGAACAACAGCCGTTAAAAATTCTCAAAGAAAAATTTCAAGTTCCAATCTTTTCCATCGGACCCATCCACAAAATCAGTCCACCAATCTTCAGCAGCTTAGTAGAAGAAGATACCAGTTGTATATCTTGGCTGGATATGCAAACTCCAAACTCCGTCTTGTACATAAGCTTAGGAAGCTTAAATTTCCTCAATGATACCGAGCTTACAGAAATGGCGTGGGGTTTAGCCAACAGCAAGCAGCCATTTTTGTGGGTGGTTCCGCCCGAAAAACTCGGTGGTTCCCGATCGTTAGACTCGTTGCCTGAAGGCTTCGAGGAGGCGGTGGGAGAAAGGAGTTACCTGGTGAAGTGGGCGCCGCAGAAAAAAGTGCTTGCGCACGGCGCTGTGGGGGGGTTTTTGAGCCATTGCGGGTGGAATTCGACACTGGAGAGCATAGGTGAAGGTGTTCCGATGATATGCAGAGCGAGTTATGGAGACCAGAAAGTGAATGCGAGGTACTTGAGCCATGTTTGGAGAGTGGGAGTGGAATTGGAGAAGGGTTTGGAGAGAGAGAAAATTGAAAGTGCTGTGAGGAGGTTAATGAGGGATGAAGAAGGGGAAGGGATGAGGAAGAGAGCTTTGGATCTCAAAGAGATGATTCGAATCTGTGTGGGTGATGGTGGATCTTCTTCTGAATCCATTGCTGAATTAGTCAAGCTTATCATGTCATCAAAATAATACGCACACCAAGGAAATGGTGATTTACCCCCGGTTTGTACAGTAATAAATGATACTTAATTAATGTAACGTAATAAAATTACGTTTATTTTAATTTTTAATCGTAAATGATATTTTATTGATCTATTTTAAATAAATTTTTAAAAAAGTATTAGATAATTAAATAATTATATTTTTTATTATACTTATAAAATATATGTAATTTTTATTATATTTTCTTAAATAAATATATTTTAATTTTTTATTTTTTAAAATAATTTTAAATTTAATGTAATAATATATAATTATAATAATTTATTTTTAATATATAAATAATTTTATTTTTATTAAAATTAAATTAATATGATAATATAAATAATAATTATTTATTTTATTAAATATAAAAATTTAATTTAATTATACATCATAATTATTTATTTAAATATAAATTTAATTACATTTTTATATAATTTATTTTTTATATATTATTTACTATTTAATAAAATTAAAATAAATCAATAATTTAAATAAAAATATAAATATATTATATTATAAGTCAAACAAAATAACTATAATTAATATATATTTATATACAATCATCTAAAAATAAAATTTTATAAATTTTTTTTATTATTTTTATATTGTATTATTATTTTTTAATTACTATTATTTTTATATATTAATTATTTATTACTAAGATTTATTTGAACACGACGTTATTGTGGCAAAATAAGTGAATGTATATGAATGGGCCTTGAAGCCCAAAAAAAGGACCTGGAACTTTCTTGGTCCTTCTTTTTCAGGCGCGAAAATTACAGTTGAAGCTGAAAATGGAGGAAGTGTCTGGAACGAACTGGATCTTCTCCATTGCTAGAACTTTCCCCTCCCTCCAATGAATATACGTATACACACTCTTCTTCCCCGTCGAAGCATATATTCTCAGCATTATAAATAGCAGACAAGAGCTCTCTCTAAACCAAATCTTCTTCTTCTTTCAAGTTTCGGTAAAGCGAACAACCCAGTTTTCCAACCATGTCTCTGATTCCAAGCTTCTTTGGAAACCGAGGAAGCAGTATATTCGACCCCTTCTCGCTCGACGTTTGGGATCCATTCAAGGATTTTCCTTTCCCTTCCTCGTCAATTTCTCGGGAAAATTCCGCCTTTGTTAACACGCGTGTGGACTGGAAGGAGACACCGGAGGCGCACGTCTTCAGGGCAGATCTTCCCGGTCTGAAAAAGGAGGAGGTGAAAGTGGAGTTAGAGGATGACAGGGTGCTGCAGATCAGCGGGGAGAGACACGTGGAGAAGGAGGACAAGAACGACACTTGGCACCGGGTTGAGCGCAGCAGCGGTAAGTTCTCGAGGAGGTTCAGATTGCCAGAGAACGTGAAGATGGACCAGGTGAAGGCTTCAATGGAGAACGGGGTACTTACTGTTACGGTGCCCAAAGCAGAGGCGAAGAAGCCTGACGTTAAGGCCATTGAGATCTCTGGTTGAGAATCTGGAATTCATGGTTGACAGGTGTTTGTTCATGTTTCTTAATGTATAGGGCATATTAATCAATAAGTGGGGGTATGACATATGATTGTGCATGCCAATTGTTCGATGAAATGTGGGTCTTTGGATTTTTGTAATGTTGTTGTAAAGTTGATATTTTGATAATAAATAAAATAATCATCTTTTCTACTTGTGTTTGAGCCATGAGAAAAAGATTTGCTGGGTTTTGACGAAACTCCAAAAATGGAACAAGACAAGTATTTGACTGGTATGATAGTGTTTGGGTTTAATTTAAAACTCCTTTGTTGTCATTTTAATCTACGAGTTTTCTTGACTCGCATCATTCATCCCCTTATTAAGCGTAAAAAATAATATTTCGAAGTTTCAGAATGCATCTCCATTTTTACTAATTTTTCAAATAATCTTAAATAGTTCATGAAAGTAAAGCAAATATTTGTACATAATTTATATGCCACCACACGGTTATGCAATTTGATTTACGAACAATATGTAATTTTTCCCCTTCTTCTCCTCCTCTTCCACGTGACTCTCCTTGCTAATCTTCAGCACCCTGCCATCTTCCACCTCCATTTCTAGGCGCTTCTTTCAATTTCAGTTCCTGACTGTTTATGTCGGTCCTGGATCAGTTAAATGCGGAGAAGAATGAAGAATGTTCCAGGTCGTTCATGGCGACTCCCTTGACGGGAAAAAGTACAGTTTTTTTCCAAAACTTTTACTTCAACTCTGTTCGGATTCATGGGTTCATCTCCTCCTGCCAAAACCCATGAGCCGTCGGCTATGGCCTAAGGAAGCTGAAAGTAGAAATATGCATGTTGGAGTAAATGATTGAAATATAAAATTTCTTTTAACTATTGTTATAGTGTAAACAATATATTATTTTCAGTTAATTAACTTTTATTTTAAAAAGTTATAGATTTTAGTAAATATCTGATTCTTTTTCCACTGTAGATGAGCTTCAACCAAAAAGGTAGAGCAAAAAGAAAAAAGAAAGAAGCCTCTCATTCCACAAGTTTCAAAGAGATGAGGCTGATGAATGAGATAAGGTCTACAGAGCAATAATAGAGGTCAAAGAAGAATAAAAAGCTATCCAAAAGTGTAAATTGATATTAAATTGATCCATCTAATGTTGTTACACCTTAAAAGGTATGTTCTGCGCAAAATGTAACTTTTTCTTAAATCACATCAAATTTTGTCTTAAAAACATAAACTCATCGCAGTAGCAGCAGCCGAGAGATGGAGAAACAAGAAGAGAGAGGTCGCAAATTGTTGCTTGTGCCATGCCCATTTCAGGGTCACATAAACCCAATGCTTCAGCTAGCTTCAGTTCTTCACTCGAAAGGCTTTTCCATCACCATCGCTCACACCCAATTCGACCCTCCTAACCCATCAGCTCACCCTGCCTTCGACTTCATCTCCATACCAGATACCTTTCTTGAGCAACAGACTTCTCCAGAAAATATGATTGATCTTGTTCTGCTTCTTAATGCCAAATGTCAAGAACCCTTCAAAAAATTCTTGGCCCAGATGATAAATCGCCAGGACCCTTCTCATCCTCAATTTGCCTGCATCATCTATGATGAAGTCATGTATTTTTCTCCGGCAATCGCTAATCATTTCAAGCTTCCAAGCATCATGTTTCGAACTTCTAGTGCCACCACATTTCTTGTTCGTGCTGTCATTCCTAAGCTGCATTTACAAGGCTGTCTTCCCTTACCGGGTATTTTAACATTCTGTGCCTTTCTTGATAGTAGAACATGTACACTAAGAGATTGGCCATTTCTTTTGCATCTAATAATATGGGAAACATGGTGATCGTACGCCAACTTTTAGAGTCTTGTTTCTATGACCAATTACAACAGATATTGCAAATCTAACTCTGGACTACAGATTCTATTTTGCAGGATCCAGTGCCTGAACACTATCCCCTGAGGTTCAAAGACCTACCCGTCGTAAAATTTGGATCAGAAGAACAGATCTTGCGACTCATGGCCAACTTGTTCAATACAGAAAGAAGCTCAGCAATAATATTTAACACTATGGATTGCCTTGAACAATCGTCATTAGCGATGATTCAACACCAAAAACAGCTTCCAATCTTCCGAATTGGCCCTATGCATAAGCTTGCTCCAAACTCCACCAGTAGCTTATTAGAAGAGGACACCAGCTGCATAGCATGGCTCGACAAGCAAGCTCAAAATTCTGTCATATACATAAGCTTGGGGAGCATAGCATCCATGGATTCTAAGGAGGTAGAAGAGATGGCATGGGGACTGGCCAATAGCAAGCAGCCTTTCCTGTGGGTGATACGATCCAGCCAGAAAATTGCCTCAGAATGGATAGAGTCATTCACAAAGGATTTCAAAAATTCAGTAGGAGAAAGAGGCTGCATTGTGAGATGGGCACCCCAGAAAAAAGTGTTGGCACATGATGCCGTAGGAGGGTTTTGGACCCATTGTGGATGGAATTCAACACTGGAAAGTATATGTGAAGGGGTTCCAATGATATGCAGACCATGTTATGGGGATCAAAATGTGACTGCAAGGTATGTTAGCCAAGTATGGAAAGTAGGTTGGCAGTATGAAAATGAGTTGAAGCGAGGTGTAATAGAGAAAATTGTTCAGAGACTAATGGTTGAAGAAGAAGGGAAGGAGATGAGAAAGAGGGCAAGGGATTTGAAACATATGGTTGAAGCTAGCATTGATAAGGATGGCCCTTCACGCAATTCTTTGAATGAGTTCGTAGAGTTTATTACGTCCTCTTAGGTTTCTCTTGGTCACAGCAAAAATCCTTCTCAAAGAATGTAATACATTTGATTGTCACAGACTAGGTTTTTTAAGTGCTTGAAAGGTGAACGTTTAAGCCTCAATGCAATAATTATGTGTACTTCATAAATCTTTATCCTAAAGCTGGCCGCAGTAAGCCATTTTTTAGTATACAACAATCCTATTTTTTAATTAAGGACCAATACTCTTTCAGATTTCATGATTTCAAGCCAATGCCATAACCTCAATCGCCTAAAGTGGTGAGCAAGAAGTACCAACAAGCCAAAAAGCCTTGGAGTTATGGTGTAGAACCAAGACAGCCACATCCGTTCCTTCTGCTCATATTGATTTCAATAAATACGAGCAGTTTGCTGAACTTACCTAATCTCTGGCTACACTAAATGACTAATTAATTTATGCCTTTAATCAGGATTTTATGGCCTTATGATTGGAAAACAGAAGTCTATACCAAGAAGAGTTGTTTCAGATGATGGCAACACAGAATCAGCCTGGTGGAGTTTTTTGGTATCATCACATTAATTCAATCGGCATGATTATCATTTCTTGGGTCATCTATGAAGTTCAATTTGTACGACATTATAGTCTCCTTAGCCATCTATGTACTTCAAGCAGAATGAGCACGTCAAAGTGCTGAATGGTCGTTAAGCAGAAAAGCAGAACAGACCAGAGCAAAATGGATAGTACCTTGTTTCCATAGAAATGACCGCACATCAAACCTCCACGGGCTTCACTCCGGCTTCACCTTATAAGAATGAAGAGCAGAGAAAGTATCTCTCTTAGAAACGACTATCGAAGAAGATTCCTTAACTTTTCAAGCCCAAAAAATTAACTTTGATTAGTCATATAAAAAACCATTAGAACATCGACTCTTTGAAGAATGTTGCCCTGTTCTGTGATTGCCACCATCAGTAATCTAAAGTAACCAAGTGTGCAAACTTGTCCAGATAAGCAAACCATCCTAGTCAGCCATCCAACTCAGCACTCACCTTCAAGACAAAGAACGCATGGCCGACAACTGTCTAAAGAAGAACCGTGGTCGTCCCTTCCTGCCTGCTTCTCTGATGTCCTTTTTATTTTCTGCATTTTCGGTTTTGATCTTCTGTAAGGCTGTCTTCTTGTTTGTTTCCTCTCCTATGTTGATCGGTTTCATTACAAAGAGCAGCTCATGCTCTATAAATTTGGAACTGCTTGTTATTAGAATATATACAAAACAAAGCTGTGAAGTGTTCAGCTTGATTCACACTTGAGAACAATTCTTTGATTTTCTTAACTTGATATCAGAGCCACTGATATGGTCGGAGAAAACAGCAACTCCTAAACCTTCAACTCAACACCTCAAAGAATTCAGACACTGCTCAGCAATGCAATGGGCTCTGTGTACGCTGAAGCTCAACCATGACAACTTCTTTCTTTGAAAAAAATATGATTCTCCTAATCATTCGTGGGAACAAACTCGAAGGCTTTATCACACAAGCCAAACCAAGTCCATCTGAATACACAGAGAAGGTGGTAGAAGAGAGCTCTGAAGTAGAAATAGCAGTGAACCCCGACTTTGAAGATTGGTTCGCTCAAGATCAAATGCTACTCGGGTGGCTCTACAGCTCAATCGAAACCAATGTAGCTTCAGAACTAATGATGTATCCAACATCCAAACTCCTTTGAGATGTCATCCGTGACCTATTCGCAATCAAAACAAGAGCAAATGTAATCTATTACAAAAGAGAATTTATCAAAATGAAAAAAAAAAAAAAAACTTGAAAATGGAAGAATGCCTTAAGGCCACAAAGAACATATCAGATAACTTTACTATAGCAGGTCATCCTGTAACTATAGAAGATCTCATCTCACAGATACTTGTTGGCCTGGACTCCCCCGAATACAACTTGCTAGTGTGCCAAATGACAGAGAAAGAAAGCATTAGCTAGGTAGAGCTCCAGTCCAGGTTACGAAAGGAGGCTTGAACAACTCAACTCTGCAACAGTAAATCTCAGCTTCGGTCGACCATCAGCAAATTTCTCCAACATTAGAAGCAGCGAAATCATCAAAACTCCCTTTCCCAACCAGCCAACAGGGAAGGACAAAACAATAACCTTAACAGAGGAGACTACTATAATTCAAGAAGATGAGGAAGAAACGACAGTAACTCCAGACCGATTTGTCAAGTATACGGTAAAATTGGGCATACTGCTGCTCCTTGCTATTATTGTTATGATATAGCGACATGGGAGCCATTCCTGAAACTCCACAAAAGACTCAGCAAACATAGCCTTCTCTATCTCCACGGAAGCCAGCTTCAAAGATCTAGTGTGGTATGCCAATAGCGGTGCTAACAACCATGTGACTAGTGACCCAAATATTTTGCAACCTAAACAAGCCTATGGAGGAAATGAAAGTCTAATGATTGGAAACGGTGGAAATTGTCTATCAAGCACATCAATAAGACAGATATTTACACATCCGAAAATCAAAAATTAGCACTAAATAAAGTCTTGCATGCACCTTAAATCACCAAAAATCTTTGAGTATTTATCAACTCGAAGGATTTGAAGATTCTGTACATTCTAATCATGTTTGTCAACTCAACAAAGCACTTTATGAACTCAAGCAAGTGTCAGTAGTCTAGTTTGATAAGCTTAAATCCACCATACTCAAATGAGGTTTCAAAAACTCTCAAGCAGATACCTCACTCTTCTTACTTGTCACTACAGTTACTAAAATCTTCACATTAATTTACGTTGACGATATCATTGTGACAGGGAACGAGCCTGAAAGAATGTAGAAATTCATCAGTCAACTCCACACCTTATTTGCACTTAAGGACTTAGGTGAGCTTCATCTCTTCCTCGGAATTGAAGTAGCCCGTGATAAAACCGAACTTTTCCTCACTTAAACAAAATACATTGAAGAACTCCTCAAACAAAGCAAAATGCATTCTTCCAAACCATGCTCTACTTCGGTAGTCGTTGGAAGCAATCTATCTGCAGAAGAAAGACAAGAGTTATCTGATCCAACTCCTTATAGGAAAATAATCTGTTCCCTTCAATACTTGACTCATACAAGACTGAATATCTTATTTATCGTCAACAAACTCAGTCAGCTTATACAAAAACCGACCAATCTTCACATGAAAGCACCGAAGAGAATACTCAAGTACTTGAAAAAAACAACTGAAATCAGACTTCACATCAAACTCAGTGACAGATTAAGCATTGTCGGATACTTTGATGCCGACTAAGCTTGCTCAAAAGATGATCAACGCTCAGCCTCTAGTTATTGTGTCTACTTTGGAGACAATCTAGTATCTTGGAACTTTAAAAAACAGAATGTTGTCTCGTGATCAAGTGCAGAATTCGAATACAGGACTTTAGCTCACTTGTCTTGCGAAATTACTTGGTTGGAGTCTCAGCTCAAAGAAATAAACTTTATATCTTTGAAATAAACTTTATAATTCTACAAACCTCCATCGCTGAGCGCCACAGCTCTTGCAGGCAATCTGGTTTTTTATTCACGGACCAAGCATATTGAAGTAGATATCTACTTCATTTGTGACAAAGTGTTAAGAGGAGTTCTCGACATCATATATGTGTCATCCTGCAATCAGACTGCAGACCGCAGACTGCTTCACCAAAGTACTATCACAATCTCAAGTCAAGTATTTCGGAAAGAAACTCGGCAACCGCTTCCTTTGCCAAGTTTGAGGGGGAATGTGAAGAATGTTGCCCTGTTCTGTGATTGCCACCATCAGCAATCTAAAGCAACCAATTGTGCAAACTTGTCCGGATTAGGAAACCATCCTAGTCAACCATCCAACTCAGCACTCACATTCAAGACAAAGAACACAAGGCCGATAACTGTCTAAAAAAGAACCGTGGTCGTCCCTTCCTGCCTGCTTTACTTATGCCCTTTTTATTTTCTGTATTTTCGGTTTTGATCTTCTGTAAGGCTGTCTTCTTGTTTGTTTCCTCTCCTGTGTTGATGGGCTCTCTTACAAAGAGCAGCTCATGCTCTATAAATTTGTAACTTCTTGCTATTAGAAGACATACAAAAACAAAGCTGTGAAATGTCCAGCTTGATTCACACTTGAGAACAATTCTTTGATTTTCTTAACTGACAGTCCGACATTTCATCGAACATTTTACAGAAAGTAGCTCAAAGTGTCATTCAGAATATTTGACCAAGACGAAGTTTGCAATAGAAAGTATTATTATTGGATATTATGTACGTTAGCATTACAACATCACAAACTCATATCAGACGCACTGACATTTCATCAAACGCTTCACATACAAAACACAAAGTTTACTCACTTTCCATACACATCAACGCTCGTACATAGAGAAATATCATCAAAGTCTTTCGTGAAATTGAAACACTCAGCCGGAAATCTCAACAGCCTTAACATCAGGTTTCTTCACCTCCGCTTTCGGTACCGTCACAGTTAGCACTCCATTCTCCATAGAAGCCTTCACCTGGTCCATCTTCACGTTCTCCGGCAACCTGAACCTCCTCGAGAACTTGCCGCTGCTGCGCTCAACGCGGTGCCAAGTGTCGTTCTTGTCCTCCTTCTCCACGTGCCTTTCACCGGTGATCTGCAGCACGCTATTGTCCTCGATTTGAACTTTCACTTCTTCTTTTTTCATCCCCGGGAGATCAGCTCTGAATACGTGCGCCTCCGGCGTCTCCTTCCAATCCACACGAGTGTTCACGAGTGCGGAATTTTCCCTAGAAAGAGACGAAGAAGGAAAGGGAAAGTCCCTGAATGGATCCCATACGTCGAGGGAAAAGGGATCAAAGACGCTGTTGCGTCGGTTGCCAAAGAAGCTTGGGATGAGTGACATTGTTAAAGATTTTGCAAAAGAATCAAGAAAAGAGAAGTGTTTTGTTGGCGAGGAAGTAGCTGAAAAAATGTTTCGTTGGCAGCGAGAAAGTTGCTTCAGAGTCGCTTGCTTGCTTGCTCTTCGCTGTCTGACAAGTCTGATCAGTTGGATATTTATAAAGAGGAGAGGAGAAATCCAGAACCGACTGGATAATCTGTTGATGAGTTCTTGAATCTTCTAGGAGGATCTTGACCTTCTCTTGTAAGATTTCAAAATCAAATAATCATTATTATATTAAATTAAAATAATTATATTTTTAATTAAAAGAATATCTAAATTCATAACAAAATTTTAGTAATGGAATAACATAAAAAATAAATTTGACGTACAATTTAAGAATTATAATTATTTTTTTATATCGTTAAATATTATTATCTTTAATTTATTTTATTATACAATAAAAAATAACATTTTTAATATCTACTCATGTAATCGTTGATCTTAATTCAGAGCTTGATTAATAAGGATTATAAATTGATTCTCGCTGCTAATATTTCTAAACTAAAATTTTAAATGGGAAATTTCGCTGTTAAAATCATACAAATATAAATATAAATAAATAAGATATATTTATAAAAAACTGAAAAAAGTTATTATATGCTTTTGCCAAAAAAAGAAATTTATTGTTTAATGGCTCATGCATCTTAATGGGCCTTGAAGCCCATGAAAAGAAAATCTAGAACTTTCATGGTCCTCCTGCTTTCAGGCGCGAAAATTACAGTTGAAGCTGATAATGGTGGTGGAAGTGGCTGGAACGAACTGGGATCTTCTCCTTTGCTAGAACTCTCCTCTCCCTCCTATAAATATATCTATACACATTTCTCTTCTCCATCGAAGCGTATCCTTTCGGCGTTATAAGCAGCAGATCTAAGCAATCTCTAAACCAAATTCTCTTCTTCTTTCCAAGTTCCTGTAAAGCGAAAAAAAACCCAGTTTTCCAACCATGTCTCTGATTCCGAGCTTCTTTGGAAACCGAGGAAGCAGTGTATTCGACCCCTTCTCGCTCGACGTTTGGGATCCGTTCAAGGATTTTCCTTTCCCTTCCTCGTCAATTTCTCGGGAAACTTCCGCCCTCGTTAACACGCGTGTGGACTGGAAGGAGACACCGGAGGCGCACGTCTTCAAGGCGGATCTTCCCGGTCTGAAAAAGGAGGAGGTGAAAGTTGAAGTAGAGGATGACAGGGTGCTGCAAATCAGCGGGGAGAGACACACAGAAAAGGAGGACAAGAACGATACATGGCACCGCGTGGAGCGCAGCAGCGGGAAGTTCTCGAGGAGGTTCAGATTGCCAGAGAACGTGAAAATGGACCAGGTGAAAGCTTCAGTAGAGAACGGTGTACTGACTGTTACGGTGCCCAAAGCAGAGGTGAAGAAGCCTGAAGTTAAAGCCATTGAGGTCTCTGGCTGAGAATCTGGAATTCATGTATGACAAGGTGCTTGTTCGTGTATAGGGTAAGAATCAATAAGTGGGTATGAGATATGATTGTGCATGCCAAGTGTTTGATGAAATGTGGGTGTTCGCATTTTGTAATGTCGTTGTAAGTTGATGTTCTGATATAATAAATATCATCTTTTTTAACTTGTGATTCAGCCTTACATGTACATGA